AAAATGCTTCCTCCTACCTACATTTAGAAAATTTGATCTCAGAGAAAAGGAGAAAATTCCACAATATGGAACTCATATTCTGACAACAATAACAGCAGTAATAGAAAAATTATTTCGCCGTCAACAGTTGGTCATTCAGCAGCAAGCTTAAATACCTAAAGATAAAGAGATCATGATCACAGACCAGCAAAACCTAGTCTCTCTTTCAGTGGAAACACTGACATAGTGTGTTTGGATGAATTAAGAGGCGAACATCAATTAATTTTTTTCCATGCATAGATATTGTCAAAAGCTTGCACCTCATGAAGGAACCTTTTAACATCTTATCCACTTATTGACCTTAGGAGGGTTTTATTTTCTTAATTGGGGTTGGGGAGTTGCGGGGAAGAAGAAGACTTAATGACAGATGATTTCTGACGGGGCTGCCTGGAAAGGCTGCATCATCTCAACAGAGATATATAGAAATATAATCCAGCTATGAGTCATTCAAGAGAGAAGTATTAGCAAGAGTTAGCTCTCCACTCTGCTCCTCTTCCTCCCCGCTCTCCAAAAGAAGTGTGTTTCATCTTTTTACTTGCTCCTGTTGCTACTTAGATCTTGACTAGTGAAATAAGTTATATTTTCATTAGTGATCTTTTCTTAGAGCTTGCAATATAGAAGAGTTGTTGTAAAGATTACGGAGGACCAATGTTATGAACACTCTACACTACCTACTCTACTACCCTAATTCTCGACCTCCAAACCTTCTTATCGAGGGTCATGTCCTCGGTCAGCTGAAGCTGCGCCATGTCTTGCCTAATCACCTCTCCCACCTCTTCTTTAGCCTACCTCTACCTCTCCGTAGGCCCTACAATGTCAACCTTTCACTCCTCACCGGGGCGTCTGTACTCCTCCTCCTCACATGACCAAACCACCTAAGCCGCTCTTCCCGCATCTTGTCCTCAATAGAGGCCACACCCACCTAATCGCGAATAACCTCATTTCTGATCCTATCTAACTTGGTGTGCCCGCACATCCATCTCAACATCCTCATCTCTGCTACCTTCATCTTCTGGACATGAGCAATCTTGACTGGCCAACACTCAACCCCATACAACATCGTTGGTCTGACCACCACTCTGTAGAACTTACCCTACTAAAAAATTTAGCAGATTTAAAGAGTGTAAATTTTTTTTATGACAAGGCTCTGTTATAAAGTTATATAGTTAATATGTAATTAGTCCGAGTCCCACATTGAATAGAAGTAGGACATGTATTATGTACCTCATTATATTATAATTTAATACATTAATATTATATTTTTTCCCGAACTTTCTCACATGGTATCAGAGCAATCGTGAGAGATTTATCGCTGTGCACAAATTCCAGCTCCGAGAAGAGAAATCAGTCAAACGGAAGTATGCCTTAGACATTCTTGCGGAAATAGGAATGACGGGTTGTAGGCTTGTTAACACTCTATGAATCCGAATTCTAAACTGCTGGGACAGGGGGAGCCGCTTAGCGATCCCGCAAGATATAGGCGGCTGGTTGGTAAATTAAATTACCCCACAGTGACTAGACCTGACATTTCCTTTCATGTGAGTGTTGTGAGTCAGTTTATGAATTCTCCCTGTGATAGTCATTGGGATGCAGTTATCCGCATTATTCGGTATATAAAATCAGCTCCAGCCAAATGATTATTATTTGAGGATCGAGGCCATGAGCAGATCGTTGGATACTCAGATGTTGATTGGGCATGATCACCTTCTAATAGACGTTCTACGTCTGGATATTGTGTCTTAGTATGAGGTAATTTGGTGTCTTGGAAGAGCAAGAAATAAAATGTAGTTGCTCGGTCTAGTGCAGAAGCAGAATATCAAGTAATGACTATGGCAACGTGTAAGCTAATTTGGATTAAACAGTTTCTCAAGGAGTTGTTATTTGGTGAGATCAGCCAAATGGAACTTGTGTGTGATAATCAAGATGCTCTTTATATTGCATCAAATCCAGTGTTCCATGAGAGAACTAAACACATTGAGATTGATTGTCATCTTGTCAGAGAAAAGATACTCTAAGGAGATAATGCTACAAAGTTTGTGAATGATCAGCTTGCAGACATTTTCACCAAGTCCCTCACTGGTCCTCGTATTAGTTACATATGTGACAAGGTCGGTACATGTGATTTGTATGCACCAGCTTGAGGGGGAGTGTTAGATAATTATATAGTTAATATATAATTAGTCGGAGTCCCACATTGAATAGAAGTAGGATATGTATTATGTATAGTTATAAATAGGGCTCATTGTATTATAATTTAATACATCAATAATATATTTTTTCTCGTGCTTTCTCACAGACTCCTTGAAGATGCAACGAAGAAAATGCTAACATGGAGAGAGATAATGCAGCATATGCTAACATAAAACCCAAGCTTTTTAGCTTCCATGATTTGCAGTAAACTCAACTGCAAAAAGAGATCTGCCTTTTCCAGTAAGGCCACATTTAAACTATGGTACAACTAGTGGTATCAGATGAGAAAAACAGATGAACATCTATAAAAGAGCTTGTTAGCCTGCAAAATTTAGAACTCGTGGAAAAGTTCACAAGTAAAGGAAGTATTCTGCAGCAATAAAGGAATTAAAGATATAAAACTTACCGATGGATGCAGTGTAACAACAGCAAAGACGAAGATGACTATAAGGGTCATCACTATAAAGAAAGTGTTAAGCCCACAGTCATGTCCAGATGGAGTGAAAAAGTGGAAGAGCAGTCCATTGAAGGCAAAGGCAGCCACGTAACATACAAGTGAAACAACAAGCAACGCCACATACCTGAAAACACACAATAACAAAGTCCAAGCAAGAACAGGGAGAGAGATTAGAATGAAGAGAATGGCGAGAACAGCTAACATTGATATGCAGTACATGATGCAACTAACCAGAATTGCTCATCGTATCCAACCCATTTGTCATTCCAACTATGCACAAAATCCAACAAGAGCACAACTTGCACAAGGAGAAATAGTCCAGAACCAAACTTGGAAATTGTCTCTGTATATACAATTTTTTTTTTTAATAAGGATCTGTGTATAATCAAATAAATAACTCATGTGCTTCTCAAGAAAAGAAAAAACACTCAGGTGCAAATCCACGTGTATGGGAAATAGAGTTTGAAATTTTGCACAATAATTCGCAGGAATTTCAAAAGGACAGCTCATCTTATCTACACCTTACCACTCACTATATGTAGTGCAGCAAATTAGCTAACCAAGAAAAAAAGAGAATACCTCATTCTTCTAATTATTTTGTCTTAGATGATACTCTAGATACTCGCCTTAACGCCTTGAATAAAATTGGCGCAACAATGTGGAAGTCTTAATCACTCTGACAGAGAAAGACAATATATTATAGTTGTCTTTCTCACTACAGCAGCAGTGAAACATTAGGATCTCCAGTATTTTGAAAAGTATTTCTTTTAGTATGGTCCTACGGCAATGTATTTTCTTGCCTTAACGTGATACTTAAATTATTCGGAGAATCCAATGAGCAGAATCCTGAATCATAATTCCTTATACTAAAAGACACAATGTTCATTACCTAGAACTGCCCAAGACAGCTCGAAAGACTAAAATGTGCATGCTCAAGACCCATACCTCAATGACACAATTTACTAACCCAGGTGAACCACTGGAAACGACTAATGATTACACAAAATAAATTAGCACGTCTTGACAAATTCGAGTTCACTTCTTGCAATTTTCATGCGAAGCAAAATAGAAGTGATATCAAAATTCACACCAGTCGTGCTATGACAAAAGTCAACTAAGTCAAGGGAGGCTGCTACTTCCGAAAAAGTTAAGCCGCCAATGGAATCCGATTCCCTGGAGGAATCATCATTCATCACTACACTGATGGAGAGATTGGCCTATGCCTCCACATGAAACTCATTGAGGTAATTTAACTTGACAAAAGATACAACTAGGTGCTGTAACAATGACATCACTGAGCAGAAAAAGGAGTAGTGAACA